ACAACAACAACAACAACAACAACAACAACAACAACAACAACAACAACAACAACAACAACAACAACAACAACAACAACAACAATACGTGTTGCGTCCACTACTTCTATTCGTGTGCTCCTCCCGACTTGAACATCCACGTTGGCAGTGTTCTTGTTGTTTGACCAACATGGTGACAACCTCGTTTGTCCGCACATCAGTAGAAGTAGCGGTTGCGGCACGAGTGGCAGCAGGAAAAGCATCTTTTCAAATTATGTGTGTTACTACTACATCTACTTACTTCCACTTCTACGTCCTCCTCTACTGCTACCAGGACCACACTACCATCACCATCACCACTGCCGCTGCCAGCACGACTTCCGGGGGCTCCTTGATGTACTGCTCAATGAGCAGCGAGTAAGTCTCGGAGTGGATGTTCTCCATGGCCATCTGGAACCCGTAGAAGGCCCGCGCCTCGGGAACCAAACCGTTGGCATTGGCCAAAGACCATACGACTGATCATTTGCGATATGTGCACATGCGATACACGGTTGACCTTCCAAACAGACCTTTTGAAGGTTGTTTGGTTATGTTTGGAAATAAGGGACTGCATATCCCGATAATCGGACAGGAGCCCGATTGTGCAGAAATCTTCAACGCGAGACGCAGCCAAAACATGTCCAGTTGAAGGACACATTCCGCTTGAAACGCAACATGGCTTGCAACTCCTCCATGAACATATCCCGGCCCCTCTGCCAAACGCCAGACTTGACTGTGGCGATTGCTTAAACAAGCGGCTTCAAGTTCCGCCTCCCCCGCGCCTCCGGTATCTGCACCTCTGAAGCAAAGTTTGTGGCCAGATTCTCCAGGACTATCCCGTCAGACGCGGCAAAAAACGCCAAGACGTGCTTCACAAAGTGTTGCTCCTCCAACGAAGGCACGTGCCCAAGCTGCGACGGGCAAGGCGGAATCCAACGGCAAGACACCCGACAACCACTGACAAGCTGCGAACACTGACAAGCGTACAATCTGACTGCCAACACTCCCTTGGCTTCTCCCCAATCGAGGCTGCATTGCAAATCAAGCGCTCGCGAGATCACGAGGCCCAGGAGGCAAAGAGTGAGTTTTTCGCGCGCAAGTGGCTTGCAAAACCCAACTCCTTCAAGTCAACCACGCGTGTCAACTTGCAGGAACCGAGGCAAAACAAACTCAGCAGGGAGCCTCAGGCCTCAAAAATACTTTGGTCAGAAGCGGCGTGTCGCGGCTTGTGTTGCTTATTGCCAAACCCATCGGCCAACAGCGTGCTGACTACTGGTAGAGCTGAGGCCGCGGGCAGAGTTTTTTTTAATCGAGCCATCCGCAGCTCAGTGGCCTAAGCTATTTGCTTGCTTATCTGCTGTCTGGCTCTTTATCTGGCATGTGTCTATCCGTCTGATCATGATTGTCTGGCTCTCGAGCTTTCTAGGTCTTGAAGACTAGCATTCGTTGGGCTATGTACTTGTTACTGATATCAGTCAATCTAGCGATCTATTTGGCAAGCTAGTTATCTGGAAAGATAGCTGCTTGTCCGCCTACTCATGTATCTATCTTCAACACTCTTTCTGTGTGCAGAAGTTCGTCTGTCAAGTTGTTTACCTGTTCAGCTACGTACCTCCGCATTCTGTGTCCAGCAGTTCGTCTGTCAAGTTGTTTACCTGTTCAGCTCTCGATCTGTCTGCCTAGCTAGCTTGACTATCTACTTGGTTCTGCCCCCATCTGTCGAGCAGCCATCTCAGAAAGCCATCTGTTTGCTGAGATCTATGCATCTAGCTGGCCACTAGTCGAACCGTCGGCTTCTTGCGATCTGTCTGTCTGGCAGATATGTCTAGAAAGCCATCTGTTTGGCTGTCTAGTTGCTGCTATCTAGGCATCTACATCTGTCTGGCAAGTCTGGCTCTCATTCTCAATGCTGCTGCACCTCGTCAAAGACGGTCTGCATGCCTATACATATATATATATACATATATATATATATATAGATATATAGTGTATCTAGCTATCTATCTGCTTAGCTTATTGCCATTTATATGCATCTGTCCAGCTACTGCTTGAAAACGTGAAAAAAACACGAGCCTTGCAAGGTCCCACCCCCCAAGTGCGCAAAGGGTTCGCTAGCGAGGCGCGAAGTGTCAGAAACCACGGGCTTTCGAAAGCTCGACCACCAGAAAGTCCGACGCTCGCGCGAGCCAAGTGGCAGCACAAAGAAAAAACGGTTTTGAGGGTTGAATGCAAGAGAAAGAAGGGAGGTGGGTGATTGAAACTCAAACCGAGCCACGGCGAGAAACTCAAATCGAACCTTCGAGGCTAATTCAACCATCGTCAGTAGAGCGCAAGGAAAGACATGAGTGGCTCCGTCTTCTGACCGAACCGAAAAAATGCACAAAAAACGAACCCTGGCCCTCTCCTTGTCCGTCAGGTTCTCCCAGTCCTTGGTGTCACTGGCCAAGTCGATCTCCTCCGCAGTCCAGAAGGATGCCTGGCAAGAACTCCCACAGTGCCCCGGTTACTTCCCACCTCCCTCGTCCTTTGTTAATTTGTCACCGAGCTATTGCCTTCGTGCTACAGTTGGAGCCCGTGTCTGGCCTTCCTCTTCACGAACCAACATGGGGTGAGCCTTTTGCAACAGAGCCAATACTGGCGACCAAAACGAAGACATGAGTGGCCCCGGCCGAAGTTTTCGAGTTGTCACAAAAGAATCCCAAAGCCCGAGAGGTCAAAGGAGAACACGCCACGGCAACCACTGGGAATCTTGGGAGGACTGCGAAGTTCATCTAACAGAACAGAGCAGGACATATCAGGCATCTGCCTTGCGAAAATTAAACACGACGCTTCCCTCCCGCAGCCATCGTGTCCTTTCAAAGAACATACCTCCAAATGGCAAGTCTCCTCTCGGCTTGCCAAAACCAAGTCCCCCCGCGCCCACGGTATCACACCAAGCACCCCTAACAGTGTCATGTGGTGCCCGAATGTGCGCTTTCGCAAACGAAAATGGGCGGATCAATCAGAAAAATATTCCCCGCGGATCCTCGTGCTTCTTATACATCTCGAAGACCGCGGAGTACTGGATCGGCAGCAGCACCCAGCGCCTGCCGGATGTCGGGCGGATGGCGAGCCTCCCAGAAACCTCTGTGACCCTTCCCGTTCATTTCATTCACTTCCAGTCTCTCCTCTCGATTTCTGGGATTTGGTGGTCACATGGCAAAGACAAGGAAGAGAGGGAGAAGAGAGACGAGAGAAGTGAGGAAAGAGGAACAGACAAGGAGGAGACAGACAGGATATGGAAAGGATTAGACTCATCCCATCCTGTGTCTGGGATAGCGGTTAACCTTTCCTTTTCCTTTCGTACACCATCAATCTCAGAGATGAACCGCTATGACAGAAAGGACATGACGAAGGAATGGACGGATAGCGGTTGGAAGAGATTGAATGGTGGAGAAAGCAATCTGTCTCTTTTCTTTTACTTTTTACATCTCACTCTGGATTCGGGAAATGATTAACGAGCGAATCCATGAGAGGCTTGATCCATGCTGCCCCCAAATGACCATGGGTAATCTTTCTTAGGGAAAGTTACATTTGTGGTGGTGGTTTGCCCAATGTTCATCCCATGTAAAGGACCTTCCTAAGCACCATTTTGCCATCAGACGCTTGGCAAGAAAGACACTTGTATTGTCAACAAGAAACCTGATTCCTGGCAGTTGCAGCTGCCATTGCGCGTCATGGTGATCCTGGCGACCACTTTGCGCGGGAGTTTACAAAAAATGTTTATCTACACTAGAAGGGTTTCCACACTTGAAGCAAGCTCCCCTTGCACAGGGTGCAACAGCACCACAGCCCTACACAGCATTTGCGGTCAAAATTGGGTACAACCTTGTCGGCAAGAGGGAACCGGAATAAGAATCCGAAAAGCGTGTCCAAAAGATTCGAGAAGGAGAATCTTCCATTTTATGAAAATTGTGTTTTCCGAACCAGTTGAACTCTTTCGGCTGGTCTCCCTTTGACAACGAAGCAAGGGTCCTATGGCTTTCACACCCACGCACAACATACATACATACATACATACATACATACATACCTACCTACCTACCTACCTACGTACCTACCTACATACATACATACATACATACATACATACATTACATACATACATACATACATACATACATACATACATACATACATACATACATACATACATACATACATACATACATACATACATACATACATACATACATACATACATACATACATACATACATACATACATACATACATACATACATACATACATACATACATACATACATACATACATACATACATACATACATACATACATACATACATACATACATACATACATACATACATACATACATACATACATACATACATTACATACATACATACATACATACATACATACATACATACATACATACATACATACATACATACATACATACATACATACATACATACATACATACATACATACATACATACATACATACATACATACATACATACATACATACATACATACATACATACATACATACATACATACATACATACATACATACATACATACATACATACATACATACATACATACATACATACATACATACATACATACATACATACATACATACATACATACATACATACATACATACATACATACATACATACATACATACATACATACATACATACATACATACATACATACATACATACATACATACATACATACATACATACATACATACATACATACATACATACATACATACATACATACATACATTACATACATACATACATACATACATACATACATACATACATACATACATACATACATACATACATATACATACATACATACATACATACATACATACATACATACATACATACATACATACATACATACATACATACATACATACATACATACATACATACACATACAT